CTAAAATGTTTCAAATTCAAATTTTAAAAAATGTTCTTTTTTTTAAGGTTGTTGACTTACTGATTTTCTTCTGGTCAGCAGCACCTTGCCTGTTGCGAATTATTTTCTTCTAGCATTTACTTTCATTTTAATGATGTTGATAGAAGATATTGCTGTTTAGAACAGTTGAATTTCCCTCAGTTACCACATATTAATACCTCAGTACCAACATTCAGTCAAAAGGGTTGTTTTATTTTTTATTTTTACATGAAGTAGAAATGATCACAGTTCAAGAAAAAAGTTTCACAGAAAATCACATCATGTACGTGTTATACAGTGTTAATTTAATCATCCACAAATAAGGCCTCATTCCCTGTTTAGGCTGGGCAGCTGTTCTGGCTTCTTTACTGGCTTCCTATTGGTGGAGACCAAATAACAATACGCAGCAGGAACTGAGAGTATTTTTTTTTTAACACATCAAAATGAGTAGAAGCTGCAGGTTTATTTTTAAGTTGACACCAGGTTTATTTTAGTGAACAGAATGTCTGTTGTACGTAGTGCTGCTGTAGGTAGTTTAATTGTAATAAATGTTATAGTAATAAAATAGATAAAGTAATAAAAATAATCCATGTAGTCAAATGTTCTATTAAGGGATGTGAAGTGGTTTCAAACATTATTTAACATTAAATATAAAATGTAGTCGTCCTAATCTGAAATCAGTGCAGTGGGAGTCACGTAATACAGCTGTGATATTTTCTATGGTATGGACTGTTGTCTTGGCTGCATTTGGTTTAATTCCTTTTAAATTTTACTATTTTGAACCAGTTAGTATAGGATTATCCTGCATGTGATTTTATTTGACAATACATCCAGACATTAGTTAAGGCGACCAGAGTTGGTGATTACTGTAAAATTAAATTTCAAAATGTCTATATCTGGATGGCAATCACTATCTCTAGATGCAGTAAAAATGTTTTTTTTTACTCAGAAAATAGGTGGCCATCAACTGAATAAAAAAAAAACCAATATTGTTGAAAAAATAACATTAGTTCTAATGACTGCTGTAATTTTTTTGAAACGCATAACTACCATGATTCCTTTAGGTGGTTAACCTATGGGAAACCTGATGTTATCCTGTTTTTACACATGTAATGTATTCTTTCACAAAAAGTGACTCCAACTTTTATATCAGAATGTTAAGTTTTGAGCCCGTACAAAAGTTTTAGCTCTGCATGCCAACATTAGCCTTTTTTATCGATACAGGATTTAGATTTTTTTTACATTTTTTTATTCCATCTCAGTAAAAGATGCTGTGGTGGAATTTCAAACCAACAATCGAACTTCTTTAGTGAAGATTCTGCCTTTTAATCATGTTTGTTTTTCTTTTTCAGCGGACAACAACCACCGACTGAATCTCTTCTACGTTGCAAATGACGTGATACAAAACTGCAAGCGAAAAAACGCCATTGTTTTTCGTTCATCCTTCGCAGAGGTCCTTCCTAATGCTGCAGGTCTAATAAAGTGAGTCCTGGGTTTTGTAGTTTTTTTTGTTTAAGTTTACCGTTGTTGAGGCTGTGTTCAGGCTTGTTCTCCTGCTAATTCTTACTGTAGTTGTTTTTAATGCCAGTTCAATTTTGTTCACCGTCAGAGATGGAAAGGTCCGGAGGTCGGTGGAGAGGATCTTCACCATCTGGGAGGAGAGGAGTGTGTATTCTGAGGAGCTCATTTCCCAGCTGAGAGTCAACCTGAACAAACGGGAAAAGGAACGAGAGAAGCAGAAGGAGAAAGAGAAAGAGAAGCAGAAAGAAAAGGAGACTCCGCCGCCAAATGGTCCGTTTATAACTGCTGACTGAAAGTGATAAATATAAATGTGTATATATATATAGGATACATGATCAACAAAACTGTTGTTTTCTTTTTCTATTTTCTCTAGCTAACTCCAAAGCTGCTCTCAAATCCAAGATTCTTGCAGAGTTTACAGTAGGTGTTTTTTTCTTGTGTGTGACAACAGTCAACTATCATTGGGTGTGAATTTTGTTGTTTATTTATTTATTTTGAACAGTGAAAAGATACTTTTTTTTTTAACCCTTTACAGCCTCAGACCCTCATCGAGCAGTTGTCCACATTTAAGAAGGCAATTACAGAAGAGGAGTTGAGAGAGAAGCAGCTGCCTCCTCTCAGGCTGGACATCTGCAGCTCCGAGGCACTCAAGAGGTTGAAAGGTCAGATTTTTATTTTTGTTGGCATCACCTCAGTCACAGGGTCATGTGCATTTGTGCAGCTGCCCTTAATGTCTGTTAATGTTTGTCTTCAAATTAGTCAAGAGTGTTAAAGTGGATACAGATTAAACTTTTGCAGAGATCTGTAGATGAATGTAGTTGTAAAGAAAACAATTTTGTTTTAGGTTTGAGTACAGGTTCGTTCTTCATGTGCTCTGTTTTTTCAATAATATTTTGTCATTCTTTTTTTTTACCCCAGACAAGGCAGGAGGAAACAAGTTTGCTAAGGATTTTGAGGATGGCAGTTTAAAGCTGCAGGAGTTGGTCAGCTTCCTGGAGAAAGATTTGAAATCAGGGCCTCCTCTGCTGGAAGCTCTGGGAAATGCAGACATTTTCTACGAGATGCAGTACAAGGAAGTTAAAATTGTGGCTAATGTAAGTACTCTGTGTAATGTTGTGGTTTTCTAATTTAATCTGATTTGTAGATTTTTAATTTTTTTATAAAATTAACATTTCCCCTTCTTGACTGTGTGGATTTCTTCCTGTTATTTTGTTCAGGCGTATAATGCGTTTGCCAACCGTGTGGCCAGCCTAAAGAAGAAGCTGGACTCTCTGAAGGCAACTCTACCTGGACCGGATGACTCCCCCATTCCCTCCCCCTCTGAAGATGCCCCCTCTCCAACAGGTTCTGACTCTCCCTTCATGGTCCTGGGCGCCAAGGTGGATCCAGAACTGGACGGAAAGGCCATGGATGATGGGGATCTGCATGTTTTAAACAAAGACACGGAGGACATGGATTTTTCTGATGAAGAGGCAGTTGCTGTCACAGCAGGAGGTTAAAAAAAAGATATACTGAAAATGTTCTTCATAATTCTGTACACAAGTCA